CCACCACCTACTGGAAAACAAAAGAAAGACCTTTAATTATCAACCAGCTAAACAGTGAGAGTCAAATACTTAAAATATTTCGTGACCTGGCTTGGTGGCTAAGTTGGTTGGAGTGTCATCCTTTACATCAAAATGTTGAGGGTTTGATTCCCAGTTAGGGAACATACCTAGATTGCAGGTTTGATCCCCGGTCAAGGTGTGTACTGGAGGCAACCAATGGATGTTTCTCTCACATCAATATTTCTCCCCCCACTTCCTCTCCCACTCCCTCCTTCCTCTCTCTCTAAAATCAATAAAATATATCCTTGGGTGAGGAGATATATATATATATATATATATTTCATTTCCACAAATATCCAGACAGAGATTAATCCATCAATCCAAGGTAAGAAGGGAGTTCAGAAAGAAAAGGAAAAATCTCAAGAAGGTGGATGTCCTCTTTACGACCCGATCTCCTCAGTCTCAGAGTACCACCTCCGTGGTGGGAAGTGGCAGGTTATGGGTTACCCGACCAGTGTGTTCCCTGTGCTGCCTTCCTGTAGCCAGAAGCACCTGCAGAGCCACTCTGTCTGAGTTGACCCAGCTGCCTCTACCATGCTCTACCTCAATGGGTTAGGGAAGGTATGTGTGGTGGGGGAGGTTTTGCATATCTGCAGTTACATTCTTTCTAGTGGGTTTAGCTGCAATGAGAACAGACTACTTAATGCTGGAAAGTTTTTTCTGCCTTTTTACAGTCTTTCAAGTGAGGATTTTACTGCCAGGGAGCCACAGGAGAATATGATGGATAATTCCCAGGACTGCAGATTTCTTTGATCAATAATGATAGGTGGTAGAATGCTGCCACCCTTTGCAGTACTTCTCTGCCCTTGACCCTGGGCTCAGCCTCAATGTGTGCCAACTGCCCAGGCCTGATTGCTGCCTCTGCCCCTCTGGTTTACCCAGTGGGGGTTGCACCTCTAGTGTTCACTGCTATTGCATCTTCTGGGGCAGCAGAGAACTCTGGAATGCATCTATGGCTCTGTCTCTGTCCTTTCCTCATCCTGTTGCCCTGTTCATTCCCACCTTCAGATGTCTTAATGCACATATCTCTCAAACGTGTTTGTGTGTTGAGCAGAAAATCTTTATTGAATTATAGCTATCCAACTTCAAGGGTAAAGACCTGAAGGTTTTCTCGTGCTGCCATGCTGCTGACATCTCAGAATCTCTGTTTTTGTGTTTTTGCTAATTCATTGGGATATTTTCCACATAATATCATGTGTTCTGCAAATAGAGCTATTTTGCTTTCAATTTGAATGCCTTTAATTTCCTTCTTGCCTAATTGTTCTAGCTAGAACTTCTAGTACAGTGTTGAATAGAAATGGTGAGAGTAGACCTAGTTGTTTTCTCCAGATTTTATGTGGAAAGCTTTCAGTCTTTCTCCACTGAAGTGTATTAGCTGTGGTGCCCTTTTATCATGCCAAGGAAGATCCCTTCTATTCCTCGATTGTTGGGTTTTTTATCACGAAAGAGTGTTGGATTTTGTCACTGTTTTTTTTCTGCATCAATCAAGATGAACATGTCATGTTTTGCTTTTATTGTTAATGTGATGTATTACATTATTTGACTTTTCTTCATACATTGAACCACCCAAATATTCCTGTGATAAGCCCCACTTTGTCCTGGTGTGTAGTTCTCTTAACAAAGATTCAGTTTGCAGGTATCTTGTTGATGATTTTTGCATTTATATTCATAAGGGGTACTGGTCTGTAGCTTTTCTGTGATGCCTTTAGCTTTGGTATGAAGATAAATGCTGGCTTTATAGATTGAATTAAGTGTTTCCTCCTCTTCTATATTTTGGATCGGTTTGGAAAACATTGGTGCCAGTTCTTAAATACTTGATAGAATTCATCAGTGAAGTATTCTAGGCATGGACTCCCTTTAGTTTGGAGATTCTCGATTTGTGAATTTTTCAGCATTCCTTCTTTCATTTTCTTGTTGGCCATGTTGAATTTCTTTTCTAAAGTGTGCGTTCAACTCCTGGATATCAAAACCAGATAAGGACACTACAGTAAAGCTACAGGCCAATATTCCTGATGAGTATGGATATAAAATTTCTCAATAAAATACTAACAAACCAAATTCAACAGCACATTAAAAGGATCATACATTATGATCAAGTAGGATTCATCCCTGGAGGCAAAGATGGTTCAACATATGCAAATCAGTAAATGTGATACATCACATTAATAGAATGTGAAATAAAAATTAAAGTCATCTCAATAGAAAAAGCATTTAACAAAAAACATTCTTTCATGATAAGAATTCTCAACAAATTAGGTATAGAAGGAACATGCTTCAACATAATAAAGGCCATCTATATATGCAAGCTAGCATCATACTCAATGGTGAAAGGTTGAAAGCTTTTCCTGTAAAATTAGGAAGAAGACGGATGTGCACTCTCACCATTCCTATTCAACATAGTACTAGAAATCCTAGCAGAGGAGTCAGGCAAGAAAAACATAAAACATATCCAAATCCAAAAGAAATAAGCAAAATTGTCTGTTTGCAGGTGGCATAATCTTATATATTGAAAGCCCTAAAGATCCCACCAAAAAAAAAACTGTTAGAATAGCTACCCAGCTGCCATGAAAGGGAATTTGGCTTACTTTATTGCATTAGTTAGTTATTGCTGTGTAATAACCCCAAAACTTTGTGACTTGAAACAATAAACATTTATTATTTTTACCATTTCTTTGGGTCAAAATTTGAAAGCAGCTTAGCAGTGTGATTCTGGCTTAGGATCTCCTAGGAAGTTGCTCCCAGACTGTCAGCCAGGGTGCAGTCAGTCCTATGAAGGCTTGATTGGGGCTGAAGGATTCACTTTTAAAATGACTCCCTTATAAGGCTTTGAGTAAATGCCCCACTTCTTTGCCAAGTGGACCTCTTTAAAGAGCATCTTGAGAGTCCTTTATGACATGGTAACTACTGTAGCTTCCTCCAGTGCTGATGACCCATGATAGGAAAGTCACAATGCCTTTTATGACATAGTCACACATTGTCATTTCTGCCAGGCTTTGTGGTGGAAGTTGCTAAGCGCAAGGAAAGGGAAATCAGGCTCCACCTGTTGAAGGGAGGAGAATCAAACTGAATATCACTAACAGACCAAGTTGGGGTAAGCAGTGGAAGACTCAAGAATACCTCTAGACAGTGGCTTTCTAGATTGCTTCGTTAAATTGTTAATGATGTTAAGTTATTGTTAAGACTTGAGCTGTTATTGAGAGCCTTGGCCGGCCCTCACAGCCCCTCGGAGCCTCGGCAGGTCCTCGTAGCCCCTCACAGCCTCGGCTGGCCCTCGCAGCCCCTGCTTCGTCTGGAAGGTCATCCAGACAGTCGTCCAGAAGGTCGTTCTGCTGTTCGGTCTAATTAGCATATTAGTTCTTTATTATATAGGATATACTTACATAACATTGTGTCCCCCCCACTACTTAGGGCATCTTAAAATTCATGTACTGGAAGGAAAACAAATGATAAAAATCCAACTAAAATGTATGAATAATCCTTAATTTTTTGCTGAAGCTTTGTTTTGGAGATGGTTGTTTGAAATAAAGCAGTCATTAATCAGATGCGGGGGAATAGAAAGAAGGCTAAGTGAATTAGTCAAAGTATGAGTTATATAATGTCTTTAGAACATCCAATTTGGGGTTAACTTTTATTTTTTATATAATTTTAAACAGAGAAAAGTTAAAATAATAGTATAAGGTACTTTTATATATATTTTATCCAGATTCACTGGAGTTTTTTTTATGACATTTGCCTTATCATCCTTCTGTTCTAAATAAAACCACCAGTGATGTGTGATAGGTTTTTTTTTGTTTTGTTTTGTTTTTCTCTCACTGCAATGAAAGAGATTGCAGACCAGAAGAACTACAGGGCTTCTAACCAAAGGCTATGTAAATGGTTGAGCACTGTACTGGAATTAGAATGTGACTATAGCAGTCATATGCTTGCAGTTCTATATAGAATGCCGACAAATATAACAGCCACAAATATAGCCGGATGAAGAATTGTTTTTCAGGCTACTTAAATATGAATAGCATTGCTATTGATGATGTGATTTTTTTTTTCCTAAACAATAAACAAATCTTGGTAAAGTTATAAACAAAAATAACATACAAATTTCCTTGACTTTACATAGGAGTAGTAGTTTGGAAATATTCATTTTGTCCTAAAATAGCAAGAAAAAAAAGATGATATTTATAAATAATGGAAAGACTCATTTTGTCCTAAAGTAGCAGGGGGAAAAAAGTCTATATGTAAAATGGTTCAGGTTCTGGGTTAATGTAATTATAGATAGGTTTGAGGGTTTTTTGGTTTGTTTCTTTGTTTTGTTTTGTTTTAACCTACCTGAATCCTGAATATCCATCTGGAAATTCAGAAGTTTAGACCAGGATTTTTTCAGTCATTATGCTGTGGCACACTGGTATGCCGAAGAATTTTTAAAACATGCAATATCTGACTATTTAGTCAGGGTCACTGACCTCTTCTCCCTTAGATTGTCAAATAAAAAAATGACAAGGACCAAGACAGCAATAGCTGTTGGTGTGAATGAATCAAAATTATATCTGTGTTTTGTCATATTGGCAAAAAATATTACGTTTTTTTTGTGTGCTGAAGAATTTAGTAAAAAAAAACTTGAAAATCGCTGGCCTAGAATGTTCTTTGTTGTGTAGGACTGTTGGGTGCATTGCAGGATGTCTTGAAATCCTGGCCCCTATCCTCTAAATACAAGTAGTTATCTTAATCTTTTGATAACAACAAAACATTCCTTCCAATTTTAACAATGTCCACCACCTTTTGTCCAGAACTATCAGTCTTAGTTGTATAAAAGGTGAGGAAGTCATGTATTAGAGTATGAAATAATATGCAACTTATTTGTAATTATGCACTGACTAAATTTAAAATGGATAATTTGAAACTTTTAAAATTAAGCTGGCTGTATTATATGTTCTTATTTTTCCTAGTAAAATGAATGAAAATAAACCAAGTGACTCACGGACTCTCGGTAAGTGACAGTATTTAAAATATTTTCAAATATAATTTAAAATATTTTACTCATGCTTTTTTATAATAAATCTCTTCAAAATGCTACTCAAACTATAGAAATGAATTCCCCGATTCATGCTTGCTTCATATATTCATGTATTAAAGTATAACATTGTGTGTGTGTTAATTTCAACAAAAATCTGCTATAGGAAGAAAATTTGCTATATTTTATTTGTATTCTCTATATGTATTTATCAGGCATTGTTTATATCTTAATAAAATTATTTATTTAATAAATAAATTTTTTCACATTCCTTTACAAAAGGAAAAATGTAGGTGAGAACGATTTAAACAAAACATGAAAGTTTAACATGAAAAGCAAAAGTTAACTTTGAATGGTCACAACAGTCTCCTCAAATAGATACAGACCTTTGCTTTTAGTTGTTTTTTCTTCATTTATATATTGAACTTAAACAGTATTTATTGACTTGTTACCATGGAAAATGAAAAATTTAAACTGTTACTTTATTTATTTAAATATATTTTGTTGATTTTTTACAGAGAGGAAGGGAGAGGGAGAGGGATAGAGAATTAGAAACATCAATGAGAGAGAAACATCGATTCAGCTGCCTCCTGCACACTCCCTGTCTGGGATGTGCCCACAACCAAGGTACATGCCCTTGACTGGAATTGAACCTGGGACCCTTCAGTCTGCAGGCCAACGCTCTATCCACTGAGCCAAACCAGTTAGGGCTAAACTGTTACTTTATACTCTTCTGCTACCACTCCTCCTCTCATCTATCCTTTTATAGATTTATTTTGTTTTAAATATATTTTTATTGATTTCAGAGAGGAAGGGAGAAGGAGAGAGAGACAGAAACATCAATGATGAGAGAGAATTACTGATCATCTGCCTCCTGCATGACCCCTACTGGAGAGCAAGCCCACAACCCGGGCTTGTGCCTGACCTGGAATCAAACTGTGATCTGGTTCATAGGTCGGCACTCGACCACTGAACCACACCGGCCAGGCTATAGATTTATTTTTTTATTCCCTTTCAATTTAACATATTACACTTAGAACTCTATGGCTTGCCTATCCTTTGTAGAGAGTATCTGTGGACTCCACATCATGTTGGATAAGGAAATTTGTGTTCTTAAACTTCCCTCTGCTTTCCTGATTTTACTTACAGACTTCTATCAACTATGCTAATAGTTCTGAAACTTAGTAATTCATAGAGTACCTTCATATATTTGCCAGATGTAAATACTACCTATTCTGTTATTACTTAATTTTTTTGCTAGGATTGACTCAATTTTATATATATACTAGAGGCCCAGTGCACAAAAATTTGTACACTCGGGGGGGAGAGGGGGTCCTTCAGCCTGGCCTGTGCCCTCTCGCAATCTGGGACCCCTCGAGAGATAATGACCTGCTGGCTTAGGCCTGCTCCCCGGTGGCAGAGGGCAGGCCCAATCCCTAGGTGCAGCCCCTGGTCGGGCTCAGAGCAGGGCCGATTGGGGAGTTGGGGCGCCGCCCCCTGTCATGCACAGAGCAGGGCGGATCGGGAGGTTGCGATGCCACCCCTAGTCACGCTCAGGGTAGGGCCGATTGGGGGGTTGGGGCACCGCCCCCTGTCACAGTCAAGGCAGGGTCGATAGGGAGGTTGCGGCGCTACCCCCTGTCACGCACAGAGCAGGGCCGATCAGGGGGTTGGTGCGCTGTCCCCTGTCATGCACAGAGCAGGGCCCATCAGGAGGGTTGGGGCTCTGTACCCTGTCACACACAGAGCAGGGCCGATCAGGGGGTTGGGGAGCTCCCCCCTGTCACGCACAGAGCAGGGCCCATCAAGGGGTTGAGGAGCTCCCCCCTGTCACTCACAGAGTAGGGCCAATAGGGGAGTTGGGGCACCGCCCCCTGTCATACACAGAGCAGGGCCGATCAGGGGGTTGGGGCACTCCCCCCGTCACACTCAGGGCAGGGCCGATGGGGAGATTATGGCTCTACCCCGTCACACACACAGCAGGGCCCATGGGGGGGGGGCGGTTGGGGCGCCGCACCCTGTCACACACAGAGCCGCAGGGCGATCAGAGGGTTTGGTCGCTGCCCCCTGTCACGCTGATCCTGGTGCCAGGAGGCCTCGCTGCTCCACTGATCCCAGTGCTGGGAGGCATATTACCCTTTTACTATATAGGATAGAGGCCTGGTGCACAGGTGGGGGCCAGCTGGTTTGCCCTGAAGGGTGTCCTGGATCAGGGTGGGGGTCCCGCTTGGGTGTCTGGCCAGCCTGGGTGAGGGGATGATGGCTGTTTGCAGCTGGTCACACACCCTTCAGGGTTTGGGTCCCCACTGGGGTGCCTGGCCAGTCTGGATGAGGGGCTGAGGGCCGTTTTCAGGCTGGCGGGTGACTGAAGCTCCCAACCTGTCCTTTTTTTCTTTTCTTTTTTATTCTGGGCCAGCTTTAGCTCTGAGGCTCGGCTCCAGCTATGAGACCTCCGCTGCTGAAAGCAGGTTTCTGGCCTTTGTTTACCTTCTGTATTTGAAACAATGTTGCGGTCCTGCTGGCTGAAGCCTGGCTGACTGAAAGCTGGTTTCTGGGGTTTTGTTTAGCTTCTATATTTGTTACAATGTTTCTTAGAGAGCAGCTGAGAGGCTGGCAAGGCAGGCGGGGAACCTGGCTTCCTCCGTCACTGGAGCAAGCAAGCCTCCCCATTCGCGTCAGCTGCCTGGCTTCCGGCCGCCATCTTGGTTGGCAGTTAATTTGCATATTTCCCTGATTAGCCAGTGGGAAGGGTAGCGGCCGTACGGCTAATTACCATGTTTCTCTTTTATTAGATAGGATATCCTATATAATAAAAGGCTAATATACAAATCAAATGAACAGCAGAACAACCGGTCGCTATGACACACACTGACCACCAGGGGGCAGATGCTCAATGTAGGAGGTTGCCCCTGGTGGTCAGTGTGCTCCCACACGGGGAGTGCCGCTCAGCCAGAAGCCAGGCTCACAGCTGGCTAGCCCAGCAGCGATTGTGGGAGCCTCTCCCGCCTACGCTGCAGCGCTAAGGATGTCCAGCTGATGGCTTAGGCCTGCTCCTTATGGGCCATCAGTCAGACATCTCCTGAGGGCTCCTGGACTGCGAGAGGGTGCAGTCTGGGCTGAGGGACCCGCCCCCCCGCCCCCAGTGCGTGAATTTTGTGCATCGGGCCTCTGGTATATATATAAATGTGTTTATTTCATTATCTACACTAATGAAAGAGAAAGATGTAAATTGACGTTCCCTTCATGATGCCCACCAACCAATCAGGAGTGGGTATGCAAATTAACCCAACAAAGCTGGCAGGCCTGTGGGCAGTGCGCATGCACGCAGACTACGAGCGCCTGGGGGCAGGGCAGGATGCTTGCGTCGTTGCCATGGCAACAACGCAGGCATTCTGCACCACCCCAGCCGCTCCGGGGCTCTGGGCAGTGTGGGAAGTTGGAAAGGTGGCTCTGGGCCAGAGTGAAGGAGGAAAGGCAGCTCTGGCCGGAGCGAAGGCTGTGCTGGCAGCCAGGGGAAGGAAGGCCTATTCTTGTAGGAATTTTCATATATCAGGCCTCTCGTTATGAAATAATATCATTTGCTATAGTAGAAGATGATCTTACATACAATGAAGTCAGAACAATTTTACTGAATTCTAAACATTAAAATTAAAAAACAACAAGTACAAATAAAAACAGAAGTAATCTATTTATAAAATCCATGCCAAAAACCTATCCTGTCCTGTATTCAGGGTCTGCATACTGGGTGGAGGCAGGAGGGGAACAAATTGAAAGCTGCAGGCTCACAGTATATATCAGATGCAGCTTCATCTAAGCATATATCATGAGGACTCCTCTTTTGTAGTGTAAGCTAATTCCTTGTGTTTCTCTTTCTCTTGATAGCTGCATGCGCACTTACAGTAAAAGTGTAGGCACTAGGGATGAAGACATTAAGGTGGGAGCTGCTGTTGTAAAATGTCCAATAAACAGATGGCAATTTGCTGGAGTTAATATGATCAGTTACTTTATATGGGGGAAGGCAGGGGAGCTAGACTCTTTTAAAAGATTGGAGGAAGGGGCTTTCAGGTATGGCTTATCTCATTAAACTGGAGTGAGGAAGGTAAATATAGAGGGGATATTTTGCAATATAATATTGGAATCTATTTTGTGACTAGCCTAGATAACAAATATAGAGCACCTTTTTAACATACAACATTGATTGTTGATTAGTTAAGGCAGGGATAGGGAACATCTAGCCCATTGTCCCTATAAGGCCTGCGAAATCATTTGGTCTGGCCCTGCCGAGACATTATGGGTGAGTTAATTAAATGTTTAACCAAATATAGCAGGCTAATTTTGCATGGCCTGGGAATGATGTTATAAATATCCAGCTCACCCTTGGCCGGAAAAAGGTTCCCCATCCCTGAGTTAAGGTAAATAAGACTAGCTGCTACTGTTATAGGTGATCCCTAAAGTCTTAATGGTTTAACACAATAAAAATTTATTATGTGCTCATGTTACAGTCCAGTGTGGATTATTTAGCGGAGGTGGGGCAGACAGGGAGTTTCAGCTCTGTGCACTCATTTAGAGAGTTAAGCTCCTTCCATCTTGTATTGATCTACCACCTTGAGATTCTCGGAGGCTTTTCTCTTCAGCTAGTGATTTTCTCATTGTTTTATTAGTATGTTATAAATTTTCTGAATAAGTAAACATCATGAGATATGAAAGATTGATAATAATTATACTAACTCTTCCTCAGTTCTATGTGCCACGCCCTTTTAATTATATTACTATATACTATATCATTTAATCCTCATTAAGACACAGTTTGAGGTTGGTACTGTTGTCCTCATTTTTAAGAGGAGGAAACAGGGAATGCAGGGGAGAGTGGGGAGGGGGAAGAGATCAACCAATGAACTCATATGCATAACCCATAGGCCCAGACAATAGGATGGTGACGGTTGTGGGGGAGGGATGTTGGAGAGGGCAATGGGGGA